GGTATATTTCATGTTCTGTTAGTCACAGGATGGTATCATAGAAAGGTTCAGGTATATTTCATTTTCTGTAAGTCCCAGGATGGTATCATAGAAAGGTTTAGGTATATTCCATGTTCTGTTAGTCACAGGATGGTATCATAGAAAGGTTCAGGTATATTTCATGTTCTGTAAGTCAAAGGATGGTATCATAGAAAAGTTCAGGTATATTTCATGTTCTACGAGTCGTAGGACGGTGTTAGTAAAAGGATTAAGCATATATAATGTTCCACAAGTCGCAGAATAGTAGAGGAGAGAAGTTCAGGTATATTTCTTATATAGCCAGGTGGTTAGGGCACTCGACTCGCAATCTGAGGGTCGCGGGTTTGAATCCCCGTCCCACCAAACGTGCTAGCCCTTTCAGCCGTAGGGGCGTTATAATGTGACGGTCAATCCCACTATTCGTTGGTAAAAGATTAGCCCAAGAGTTGGCGGTGGGTGGTGATGACCAGCTGCCTTCCCTCTAGTCTTACAATGCTAAATTAGGAACGGTTAGCGCAGATAGCCCTCGGGTAGCTTTGCGCGAAATTCAAAACAAGCAATTTCTTATATCATGAAAGAACTTAAGATCAGTGTGAGGAATAACAGTACAAAGGCTTGTTATGTCGCCCTTAAAAATTAGAGCAGAAGAATCTTGGGGGAAGTAAAACTATCTAACAGCTGAATAGTGAGAATGGAATCTCTAACGTAATCGGGCAACAATTGAACAATGGGAAAGAGCATGCTTTTAAGAACACTAAAGATTAATTGATCTTCCTGGTTTGTCGAGTTCATGAATTTACGAAGAAGATAAAAGACACTGACAGTTTAGGATAAGGTTGAATAAGATTACGACCTTCCGAAGCGAAGGTTTACTTCTTGAACAAATTGGTTTATAGAGTTACAATTTGGGTCTGTAGACTTGCCAAACGTTTACCGTTGGTTGCAGGTAAGTAAAAAGCAGTTTTAGATAGCCGTTTATTAGTTTCGGCCATGTATAGTTGGGAACTCTAAACTACAGCAGCGCCATCTTTATCAGCAGAACTGAACACAGTATCATTACTTGATTTTATGTTAGACAACGCAGAACGTACTTCTTTAGATACGTTGATTGAAGTTGTTGAAATAAAAAAGTCAGTATTTCTAATTGGTTGACAACAAATCGAAATAAAATAGTCAACAGCAGGGTATTCATCGGTCACAGGCATCAATTTATTTTGTTTTTTAATGTATTTTAAGATGCCGTTTTCATTCAGTTCGTGAGACGACATAAAGTCACTCTTGGAGATGACTCCTAGATTCAGAGTGTTTTCAAAATATAAACACCATTTGTCACATCTGAAAATAGTTGAAAATTGGATATAAACCGACTTTTTGCAGTACATGATGCCCAGAAATAGAAAGCTATCTTTCCTGTCAGCAAATCAAATAAGGAGCAGGGGAAGTACGCCCCATAGCTCAATTCAAGTTCAAAACAAATCGTGTGTATGTGGGTTGCATTTCATGTGCAAACCTGGCTTTTTTAATGTTTTGTGTATTTGTATATGAAGTTGGGTTTGCCAGTTTTAAACAATTTTTTAACTTTTAAGACTTTTAGGAGTTTAACTAGATTTTTACAATTTTTGAATCTTTTGTTTTTGTATTGTGAAAGTCATAATGCAAAATTCAGTTTTTTAATTTATTAACTTTGGATTTAGTCTTACGCGTACAGTTAAAAAGTCAATTAGCTGAGTTTCGTGAGAGATAACGGTAATGTTAACTGTAGATTAAATCTCTTTATTTCACTGTACAATATATTATTTGCTGGAAAGCAAATATAGCTTTATCTTAATTAACTTAATTTAACTTTACATTATCTTGTGGATTTTATTAACATTATCTGTTGGGTCTCACTTTTGGTTTAACTTATAAGGTGAACACTACAATATGATAAGACCTTTTAACCCCACGGGCACACCATTTTATTGGAAATACCCCAGTCGTCTAGATTTTATTGACCCGAGCATGACCCAGTCCACAAATTCCCCCTGAAATTAACTTAGGAATATTTTAAGATTTACATGTTTTATTGATATTAATCATTATCTTATCACTTTAGCTGACAAAGACATAATTATTGCAATAAATTTTTCGGTCTGTTGTGATTTGATGAAAACAGCTGATAAAGGCAATTAAAAACTGTAAAATAGGTGGTATTGTTTTAAACTTATTTCATCACATCCTAATGTAGACATTTTTCGGATTTCTTTCGTTTTATTTTAAGCATGAAGTATTTACTTACTTCCGTGATGAATCGAAATACTATCGTGAGCCAGTGACCGTGCAATTGAAATCTGTTAAACTTGACTTTTTCCATAATATGTATCAAGCAACCTAACTGTACAAATAATTGTATTAGAAATATCCTTTAAAATCGACTTAGTCTTACTAACGTATCATTAGTTTGAAATGTAGCATTTTGAATATTTTTCACTTTTAACGTTGGCCTAACCAGCGTACAGCCATTACCACTAGGTAACGTCAAAATCATTGATCACGTGACATCGTATTTGATATATGAAAAATGGCGTTTTGTTGTTTTGTGAAACGAAAGAAATTAGCATACGATTACTTGTGGGAAGAAATTGTTTGTTTACTGGAAGCTAGTTCTTCTTGTTTATACTTTGCTTAAATGAGCGAGGATGCAACAAGAATTTGCTAAAGACAAACAGGCAAAGAAAAAGAATGTGAAAACGTGGAGTGAGGCAGCTAAACTTGTGAGTCCGGCTTTCTAAGTTCTACTTCTAGTTGTACATTTAGTGAGCTAGCTTTCTATTATTATTACTTTTAAATCACGAAAATGTCTGATTTACTTTTATATTAGTACTTCAAGTCCGGGAAACCAGTAACAATTGACTTCGAGGTTTGTCATATTTGCTTTAGCCTTAGTTTACGTAATCATAACTCATTGATTCACACTGAATCACAGAATTTGACACTGACAGGTGATTACTTTGTCAAACACTTCAATTCAAACGTGTGATGCATTTTAGTTTTACAAATGTTATATGAACAATTGCCCGGTTACCTAATGGTACCATTAAGTAATGCGAATGTCAACGAGAAATTCTTTAAATGAAACATATTACCGATCCATTCCGAATGTCTATGAGAAATTTTGTAAATTAAACATTTTGACAAGATATGTAAATACTAATACTATTGATATCGGTGATGGTAAGTTATTCTATAAACATTTCTGAAATTTAAACTTTATCTTAAATGGTTCTAGTTACGTATAAGTTATACAAAGTCATGAAGCTTAGCAAGCTGGTTTTACTTTGTTACTGTTTATACTATAGAACCTGTCATTTTTCACTGGTTAGTTTCGTTAGGCCTAACGACATTGGTTGAATCGCTGAATGTTTAAACTCTTGACGTGAATCCATTTGTCTCTATTTGCCTTAACGTAACACGTGATTTCCTAAATACACACAAACAAAACAACAGTTATATATGAGTTAAAACTAAACGGATTCAAACAAAACTGATTTTATTATTAATATCATAAATTTTATAAACAATTTTATAAATTAATATTTAAATACATAAGTTTATCAATTGTAATAACAATTTAAAAAATAAGTACCTAATAACTATAACTTATAAGCCTAATAATATGTCAATTAACAAATCATTGTAAAAGGATTTAATAGATAAATAGATGACCTAATTAAATGATAAAATTTTATAAATTGTCATGTATGTTTAATAAATCAGGTATATTTCTCAATTTACAAATAGTAGTGACATTAATAAACTAACAAGTAAATGTTATTTTCATGGTTAACAGTAATTAAAGGATAATGAATTATGCATTATATAAATTGCACATACAATTTATCTTAAACTCCAAAGGATATACCTTAACATGCAATGTTATATATTGGGCCCCAAAGTTTGTCTTTTTATTTTGTAAATATGTTATATACAATTTATTCATAGTTATGGCAAAAAATGAGTTCAGTGATTTTTATGGTGTGAAAAAATGGTATGCGTAGTTGGTTTTTAGTTATTGATATAATTATCAGTATAAAATTGGGACATTATTAGTAGTTGGTTTTTAGTTATTGATATAATTATCAGTATAAAATTGGAACCAATTAATAAAAACTAAAAGACCTGATTAAAGGTTTTGATCAGAGGTGAGCATATCTGAACATTCAACATTCTCAAGAAGTATCTCTACAATTCATAATTTCTGTTTTACATATTATAACTTCTATACAAATATTTGTGATAAATATATGTTTGGTTTTGCTTCTTACTCATGTAAATTGTATAGGATATAAAGATAATTTAAGATATAAAGGATTTATGAAATGTGCTGCCCTCTAATGAGAAGAAAATGAAATTGATTTTATTTTGAAGTTAATATTAAATAATGGTCAAGTAAAATATAATGTGTTGTAAGGTAGTTTAGGCAACTTCCATGGTATATAGACCTAAAATAATTTCAATGTGTCTTGATTTATAAATATATGCTTATCAAACTTACAAATAATTGACTGTATTGTAAAATGCCAGTTTTTCTATTTTAAAAAAGTTGTGCAGTTTTACTGAGTTATGTAAAAAATGCTAATGTCCAAACAATTTATATATATGTATATTTTAGTTTGTAGTTTATTAACATAACTATATATATATATATATATATATATATCTTTAGTAATTTTCTTATCAGTCCAGTAAGTAATCACAGTAATAACTATATTTTTTTTCAACCTTGAAATAGACATGAAAACTTTCACTGCAGTATTATACTAATTTTGGGGAATCATAATTTATGAGTTTCAATCATTGAAAAAAATTGCTTTTTCAAACAAAAATCAGAGTTCAAACTAGAGCTGTGTGATTTGCAGAACTTGACAATAAATCATCAGGTTTATTCATTAGTTACATTAAATTAAATGATTATTCTTAGATAGAACTGGGTGATTTGATCAATTACGTATGAGCAGGGATTACATTGATTAGTTTCACATAAGTAACAAGAGCAATCAGAGAGACTGAATACCCTCACCCCACTGCCTTTTTTCAAGGATGCATTCATATTGGATAATGTCAAATTTCATCTTCGAAAACTCTGAAAATCCCTCTCAGATCCAGAATGATCAACGATCCGGATCATTTGTTGAAGTGTGATGAGTCTCAACCTCAATGTGCTCATGAAATTTGGTACAAATCCAGTCACACTTTACAGAGATTTTCACCCAAAACTGCAAAAATGCCCAATCTTCCTATTATAAAAAATGCTTCTAAGTGTAAAATTTTCATGTACATTAGTCTATTAGTTTTCGAGATACGTGTGCAGAAACACAGACAGACACGTATATGGACTCGATTGGGGGATGGGGGGGGGGGGTAATTAATTGAAATTATGATTAAATTGATTAATCATAATTAATGTTTCTGATTATTATTGGTATTAATTATTCTTACAGTTGATTAATCAAATTTATTATCAAATAAATTATTACAAAAACAATCAAAGTTAGGGTTTCCGATGAGTTTACAATTTTTAATTATTCCAACTAACCAGGTAACAGGGATATTTCCATTATGTTTTCATGTTGTTAAGCAAAAAGCTACATAATGGACTATATGTGCTCTGCCCCATTTTTGCCTTATAAATTGCTTTTTTACTTTACGTTTTTACAGCTTTGGTGATTTGGGGGCAGGGAGGTCTCATGATTTGAAGGTTACAGGTTTGATTCACATTGCAACCAGACTTGTTTACCCTATCTTTTTTATGACAAAGGTACTAACTCCACCTGTCACTAATTTTGAACTTTTGACTAGAGGGAAGAAAACTGACTAGCAACACCCACTGCCACCTTTTTGTTTTTGTATGTAAGTACTATAGTTTGAGGAACACTCTATTAGATGATTGATGTGGTCATTGATTAATTGATTAGCAAATATGACTAATTTCCTAGCTCTAAAACAGAACTTGGGATAATCAGAAATACTAATTTCAGTTACTCTATTATTTTTATGAGCCATGACATTAATAATTTAAACTGAACAACCATGAATTGATTAAAATTAATACTGGGAAATATTTCAATAACTTGAACAGTTGGAATAATCAGAAACATTAGTTGTGATGGGTTATTTTCAAGATAATTGATTTAATAGTAATTTCAACTAATCATTATTTTAGGTGACACTAATCAATGTAATTAATGTTCATAGTTAATTGAGTAATAGTCAAAATTACCCAGTTCTAGTTAAAACACCACAGAATTGGCATCTAAATTGGAAGCCCTGAAAAAAACAATACATATGTACGCTTATTGAGAAATCTACTGTTTTATGTATATTACTTTTTAAGTTTGTATAAAGTAAGTATATGCTGTAGTTATTTGAAGTTAGGAGTGCCAAAACATGGTGTACTGTGAGAGAGAGAGAGAGAGAGCTTAGACTAAGCTAGTCAGTTGTTGGGAAAATTGTGAGAAATGCTGTTGCTTAAATGTTTTTTATTTAGACATAATTGTTATTTAATACTTTTATTCATGGGTAGTCTTGTACTTGTGTGAATTACACTGCCATAATTTGATTAATTTACTTTTGTGTGAAATGCTTATCTTAAATTGATCTTTAGGTTTTTGAAATGCATCCTCAAACCCCAAAGAGCCATAATGATATACTGGATGAAATCCAAGTTACTGGAGTAAAGGATGTGAGGTAAATATAGCCTTTTTTTTTCTCACAAAGACTTTACAATTTTCTTCATCTTTAGGTTTTATACATTTGTGTATTCAGCATTACAAGCTTAAGTAGAACAATGTCTTTTAGTATTTTTTTGTATTCAAGTTACATGATCCCAAAGTTTCAACAAATAAAGACAATTTGATAAAATATTTGTATTAAAGTTGTCAGGTACTACTAGAGGCCTGTAGAAATATGAAATCATCATTGTATAATTTTGTAATGCTCAGTTGTTGTCTCAGAAGTAAGAGCATTTAATGATAAACATTGGGTTTCAATCCCTTTGGTGAACATAGAATAAATATACCATTGTACAGCTTTGTGCATAACAACAAACACCATATTGAATAAGCAACACAGAAACTTGTAAAACTATAGTAAGAAATTACTACAATTTTGTTGTAATGTCCTTGAGGACTAATATGTTATTGTTTGTGTATGTGCTACAAAGTAGTTACTATCGTAGCCTGTAGTTGAACTTTTTTTCTTCAACTTGTTTCAGTGGCTCGGGATCATTGGTTTATTTGAATGCAGCATTGAGAGCTCAGTCTCGTGGTCCAGGTGCTGTGTTTTACCGTATGTCTGGTTCCAACAGTGTTTTTGGTCTGAAGGTGAGAACTAGTAAGTTATTTTTTTTTAAATAAGTGGATAAGTGTCTTTTTTCTTTATTTTTTCAATGTTTTAAGTTCTTTTTCTTTTGTTTTTTGAGAAAAACTTTGCTTGAAATTTGAAGGTAAGATTTTTTTATATAATGATAACCATAAATCTTTACCATTAATTTTATCTGAAACATTTGATGCATATTGAAAGAAAGTTGGTATAAGTCAGTTTTATTTCTGTGTCAATAGCCTATTGTCATCTTAACTAATGATTGGCTGAATTCCTGTGTTTTACGAGGACCTGTGGCATTCTCATACAGCATTAGTTTTAAGGGTACCACAATCTTCATTCAGGTTGTATAGTAGTTATTTTTGCACCTTGGGTATGAAGCAATTTACAGCAAACTAAATGTTTGTCAGGTTCTTTATGAAAAATTTGAAAGGATGTGATGTGACTACAGAATTTTAAAATTGTATTCTTTTCATTTTCATTTACTTTTCAAATACCTTGTCACTTTGATTAACTATGGTTTATGATGCTTCTCTTGTAACTAAGGAAAAACAAAATACTATTTTCTTCCTTTTTACCCATAATGAATTCTCAAATGATAATAACTTCCCTTTGTTCCATGGTTGTGACGATGTTTCTAACATGGGACCCATGTTTGTTGTGTTTCTGGGGGCTCATTTTCAAGGTCATTGCTTATTCTTCTTTATCTTCAGTGTCTCAAGGATGTAGTCTAAGATCTCTTGGCCAAGAATGCCAGTGAGGGGGTATTTACCCCTACACTTGGTTATTACTCTGGACTTTTTGTGGTCCCCAAGAAGACTGGAAACTGGCATCTGGTTATTGACCTGTCATCTCTCAACTGGTTTCTTATCACCCCTTGGTTACTTATGGAGGATTTCTTTTCCCTCCTGTGGTTCTTTTCATCTGGACTGTGGATGACCAAGGTTAATGTTTTAGACCTCTTTTTACACATTCTGATCACCCCTTCTCCATATGTTTTGTATCGTTTATCAGGACTGAGTCGTCAAGTTCTGTGTTCTTTTTTTTTGACATCATATCTGCTCCTTAAATCTTTATTCAAGTCATGGGGCATTTGCCCTCCTGTTCATGGATTGGGGCTAAGATTCCATTATTGCATTATTTTTCTTGCTCCTTCTCAAAAGGACTCCTTCTTTCACACCTACATTCTTCTACAGGAGGCTGCTTAGCTGAGCAAACTTGTCAAGTCTTACAAGTTTTTTCTCACACTCGCCCTATACTTGGTACATCTTCAGCTTCCATCTCAGTTGGGCTTATCTTTCACCACTTTTCTTTTACCATATGCTCACAAGGTTCTTTTGCTTTTGTTCGTTTACTTATGCCACAAATACATGTGCCTCTTCCAGTTGAAAGTGTGGGACCAATGGAACCTTTCTTGGGATCCATTGTCCTTGATTGTGCACCTCCCTTTTTTTGGGAATTGTCTTTGTGGCTGCATCCCTTCACAAATGCCTCTCTGACAGGCTGAGAGGGAATGTGTCTTTAAACAACTACATGACTTTGGGCACGTTGGCTCTGGAAGAGCATTTATGCAGGTCAGTCAATGTCCATAAAGTTTTTGTTGTCCATTGGGCATTTTCCCATTTCCTTCTTCTCATGGATCAGTTGGTCATGATTCACTCTGACAATTCTACAGTTGTTTCTTATATCAACCCTCAAGGGGGAGAGTACCTGTTCCAAGAATCTGCACTAGATCTGCTATTTTGGGCTTATACACATTGGGTTTGTCTCACAAATTGTCATGTGCCAGGGGTTCTGAACTTGCTGGTGGATCACCTCTGTTGGCTGAACACAGTTCTAACCACAAAGTGGTCTCTCTACTCTCAGTTTTTTGTTGAGTTTGCTCAGTTGGGCATGCCTCTGCCACTCTTAATACAAGACTTCCTCTCTTTGGGTTCCTAGTTCCTCATTCTTTGGCCCTGTTGATGCTCTAAGCTAGGACTGGTCTCACCTTTTTTCTGTATACCTATCCTCCAATTCATCTTCTCTCTTGTGTCCTTGCTTTGATACGTGACACTACTTGTTGAGTCCTGTTGGTGGTGTTTCTTTTGCTGGCACAATCCTGATTTCCTCTGCTTTGTCAACAGGCATCCAGGCACCCTCTTCCTCTACCCCATTCCCACTCTTTCTCTCTTGCTCCAACCACATCTTTCTTTCACATCTTAGTCCATTGTCTATAGGGCTGAACTCTCTGATTATGTAGCCTTTTTCTTATCTCCTTTTCGTTCTTCCTTCAAATGTTTCTATCTACAGAAGTGGCAAGTTTTTTAAGTTGATCCATCAGCCTGTTCCTTCCTCCTTGCCATCCTGCTGTGGCTCATTTTTTGGTCTTTTTCACATGGAAGTTTGACCATGGATTGTCAGTTTCCACTGTTGCTGGTTCTCAGCTGACTTTATCAATTACATTTCGTCTTTCCCATTACTGTCAGTTTTTCTTCTCCTGTTCTCTCCACTTTTCCACTTTATTCCGATCTTTACTTCTTCACTGATACCCCCCCCCCATCCTACTCCAATGTTTGACATTGTTTTACACACTCTTACACATGCTCCATTTGAGCTGTTGGCTTCATGTTCATTATACCTTCTTTCTCTGAAAATGTATTCTTCTCCTTGTTGCCTGTGGTTGTCGTTGTAGGATGTATGTGCTATCGATGCTTCCTGCACTCTCTTTCATTAAACTTACTTACTTACACCTCTATCAAGACTGGCCTTTCTTTCTAAGGTTTTGGCTTGTCATCTCAATGCATAGGTGTAAATGTGTTAAGAATATATTAGCCCTTCAGAATATAATTATCCATGGCTTGTTTCACTTGTGATTTTCATTTCATTTGAGTTGTTTTTAACACAACAGCCTTTTATGATGCCACACCATGTGGTCTGAATAATTAATAAAGAAACACAGCTTTAAAAATAGCTGAAGGCAATGTTTAAATAAGGTTTGATAGAGTAGATTCTGAACTATTCATGGAAAAGTGACTACTCAATTCTTCTATAAGGATGAACAAAGAATATTACTGAGTAGGTTAGAAGACTTCAAAATGAACCACAGATCTGGAATTTTTTACATAGTTTTTATATGGGTTCTTTTCATTCCTGAAAATATTTTTATATTAAATTATGTTTGAAAGCTAATGAAGTGTTATTCTCTGATAAGACATGAAGTAAGCTTAGTGAGGTTTAATGAGTTGAGTATTGTAGGCAACAGCAAAATATTCAGATGACTCGTATCCCTAAATACTGAATATTATTGTTAAATGTATTGTATTGAAACAATGCACATGAATAAAATAATTAAGTATTTATTGAAAAGAAAGTAGTAGATGTAGATTGATCTAGACTTGTTAGCAAAAATATTATTACCTAACCTGATGAAGGTAATGGTAATCCCATTATAAAAGATCAGGTCCTAGGTCACTGATAAATCTTGGCCAAATTTTGCTGTGGTTTTTAGATTTTATAGCCAGCAGTGGTAACTACTGCAATAGGCATAATAAAGTGTCAAAAGAAATCTGTGAATAAATATCAATCAGTTGGAAACTGATCAGTATTTTTAATTTTTGTTTGGAAGTTTCCCAACTTGAAAAATTATAGACAAACTAAATCAAATTATATAATTTTTTTACTATTTGAAAAGTTTCTACAAACTTGCATACAATTAAGTTATGTATTTCCTCTGTGAGAAGAAAAAAAATCAAGGGAATATTGCCAACATTCCTTTGGTCCAGGAAAGGTTTATAGGAATAACAATATTGCTGTAACACATATGTAATAAACTAACCCTTAAATGGCCATAACATAAATGTAATAGACTAACCCTAAAACAGCTATAACATATATGTAATAGACTAATCCTAAAATGGCTATAATGTGTATGTAATAGATTAACCCTAAAACAGCTATAACATATATGTAATAGACTAACCCTAAAACAAATGTGATATAATAGTTAATTTTATGCTATTCCATATACAAGGCAAAACTATTCATAAGCATAAAGAAATATTTTAATACATACTACATGTTTTGACAGAGCATTGGTCTGTCTTCTTCAGGGATGAAAGATGAACAATATGGTGGGTTGGTATCTTAGCAATGATTTCTTGCTTTATTTTCAAGCTTGTTGGGTAGAGAAACAAATGAAAGTGAGTGGCAATCATCTTTTAAAGTAAAACTCTTTCTCATTGTTGATTTTTTTTTGCATATTTGTATTATGCCTGTTGAGTACCTTGGCTATCCCTGCATATATATATATATATACATCACATATATATATGCATATATGACATTATCATTATTAAGTTTGCACTATTGTTATAGTATTTCATTACGATGAGGCCGTAAAGCTAGTGTTATCTTTGACCACTGATTATTTGCCTGCACATGTATTCTCCAAAACGTAAAACTGTTTTAAAAGTATTTGTTTAGCATATAATGCTTTATTTGGCTGTAGTACTAACCCCAGTTTTAAACATTTCATTGGTAAAAATCCTCAAAATTTTTTTGTTTTTAAAATTAATGTGTGACATAAAAGCTGACCTTTTTTATTCAGCTTTAAGAAAATTTCTATATTAACTAAAATAAAACCTAATGTTTTTTTGAATTGAACAAATATGTTTTGTTAAAATATTTTTTATATATGCGTGAAATAATGTAACATAAGATCATTAAATACTGCTGAATGAGAATAAACCTAAGTTCATCTTGAACAATGCATACAATAACTCTGCATATGACCCAGTGGCATTTGAACATTGTAGTTATTGGTGACATTAATTCCAAAACGTACCATCTGCTGAGACTTATAGCTCTTCCTCGACCACCAGGGTTTCAACTATGCCTATTTAAGCATTGGTCTGATTTTTTCTCGCTTGCTCCAGTCTTTTATACCCCACTCAATTGTCCTTGGCAATATACTCTCCACCTACATCAATGTTCCCTCTATCCTGGTTGTCTTTGAAAGTAC